AAAATCAGTCTGTGCTAAAAATATAAATGTATCTCATATAACTCAAGCGTGTAGTGCTTGGTGATCTGCTATAGCTTAAAGCTATTCAATGTGAATTTTATTGGCCCTCTCAGCTCAAAAGAAAAACTGCATAATGCATGATGAATTCTTTAACATACCAATACTTTCTCTCTTTAGTCTTTCTTGCTTTTAATTTGAAATATTTCTTGTTTTCCACAACCTAAGATGTAAGTTTGTTAGCTTAACCACATGTTGACCAGAGTGTCCAAACAACATAATATGTTAATGATCGATTTTGAGAAGCAAATGACTTGTTTTATGTTGCACAGGAATAAAAAACATAGGACAAAGCAATCATCCAAACAATGAGCAAGCAGAACCACAACAAGAAGAGATTTGACTGAGAGAAGAGCAAGAACAGCCAAACGGACAGCTTGTCCAACAGCTTGGTCGCACAGCAGAATGTAAATTTATCTCAAAAGAACTGTGTGTTGGTTTTTGGTCATGGACATTTTTTAAGTTAACAATACATATGTGTTTAGAGACATTTGATATGATTGTGCAAGAAACATCTCCTGGATGCACTGGCATGCATCTTTAGTGATGTATCCTGGGGTCATTAGGCATTTTGGATCTTGCAACATCACACACGCAGCCGGGGGTGATCGCCACGGATCAGCCCTCTTAATTCACAGCCACCTTGTGGCTTTCCCTGCCGCTTCACTCACAGCCTGGATGGACCTCTTCTTCATTGCCCCAGCCACACCCAGCTGGTCAAGGACTTTGCAGAGTGATCATCCTGCAAAGCCCTTATAACCCACTACTATGCGCTCATAGAGTGTCTCCCACCCCCTTCCCCTGCACTCCTGCACTAGTTCCTGGTACTTGTCGCGTTTCCTCTCGTTGGCCTCCTCGATCCGCTCTTCCCAGTTCCACTCTGAGTTCCAGCATGATCAGATGACTACCTGGCAAATAAAAAAATAAAAACTAAAAATAGACACACACACACACACACACACACACACACACACACACACACACACACACACACACACACACACACACACACACACACACACTTGTTATTAATTAAGATATTAAGGTGTAAAAATTTGTTCCATTTGGACCTCTACTTTCAGAATTTTTAGTCCTTAAAAACTGGACATGAAAAAAAAATCTTGATGATGTATTTGAAAACAAAGATGAGGCAGTTTATGTCAAGTAACAGAACAAAACTGGACTGTGTGTCCACAAACACTCATTGGGTAATTTTATGAAGTATTAACCTTGAAACTGTTAGTTAGATCCTTGGTGTTTGCTTTAGTATTTAGTATTTATTTATTTATTGTCATTGTCAAGAACAATGAAATTGCGTTTGGGGCTTCCATACAACCCAAAAAAAGAAGAAAATAATAAATACCCCTTAAAACCCAAGTGTACATATTTAACCCAGTGTGACTCCAATGCAATAAGACAATCCTTAGCAATAATGTTCGTAGAAATTCAGACAAAGACCTGAGAAACATGACAAAATACAACAATGCAACCCATTCAATATTATTGTACTGTGAGATATGATATCAGATATGATAGTTATCTATTTAAGAAAGAGGGGGGGGCAGGAGGGGGAAGAGAATAAAGATATGATGCACCAATGCAGACCAGTTCATTGCTATTAAGAAGTTGTTAGGGTTATATTGTTGATTGTTATTTATGCTTAGAAATATGTACTCAGAAATGCTTAGTCGATTATAATCGATTGCATAATGATAGAGGTCTGATCCTTAACAGTCTGCAAAGACTCTGTGTGCTACCCAGAGCACTCTGGCATGCACACACATCTTAAGGTCATGAGAGAGGTCGTACCTTCTCTTACTGATTTATGGTATAGGAGGACACCTACTCTGTATCTGTTTAATTATAAGTGCCTTTTGTTTAGGTGGACCGCTAGACTCCTGGCACCAGCTTTGGGGAGTCTTCACAGGGTCACATCTTGACCCCACACACACCCACACACACACACCCACACACATACCTATATGACACACAGAAAAGTTTTTTGTTTTTTGTCTCTTTGTTCACATGTATGCCTATGTAAGATGTCGTGGGTTAATAAACGTATGCATATTCGTGTAACCTCAATAAACAGCAGTGCTACGAGGGAGCAGGCGAGAGCAACTGGGGTCAAGCGAAGGAACGGCGCTCGTCACTGTTCTCTCCTTTGTGCATAAGTAACACAAAGAACTTGGGTGACTTGCATCTTGCTTTTACCGTCGTAGTAGAATTGTCTTGTTCCAGCAGTGGGTCTGTGCCAGGCAGACCCATCACTTGTCTGCTGATATGTATTTTTCTTTCTCTGCCAAAAAACAACTTATGTTGAACTTTGAACTGATAACAATTAAAGAAGGGCATTTTCTACTGAAAATGAGGAAGAAGAAAAGACTTCACAACTCACTGAGTTTAACCACATATTACCAGAGCTATGAAAACAAGAAAAACGGCATACATGCAAGCTACATGCAATTACAGCCTATTTCATTTAATTGCTATATTAATTGTTATATTGCTGCTAATCAGTATTCTGTGTTTGCACAGATCTACAGTATGGATTTAACGTCGATTCCCAGACGCCTTCAAAACTGGATTATAGATGGCAGACAGTTGGTGTCATAGGCCACCACCTCTGTTCAAAGATGGTCGCTCACAGTGATTTCAGTGATCATGTGATTTCCTGAGGTCAGATGGCCCAGAGTGTGAGTGGGCGTTAAGGCGTCACAGTGGACATAAATGGCTTCTTTGACCTCAGGAAATCACATGATAGGGTGGGGCTAGGTTTCACAATGAGCTCACCCGAAACCCTGGCTGATTGTGACCCACACCCGTTTTCACACCTTGGCTCATGTGATTAGTTAGAGGATCATGAGGGGTCCTTTGTCCCTCTTTTGGGGGGAAACTCCCACAGGGCTTAAATCTGGGACTCTCCACCATTTGACCTTAGAACTGAAAAAGCTTCTCGGATGAGAGGTGAAACGTCTTCAAGTAACTTAAAGAAGTCCAGACGCTTTTCTTTCCAAGCTCCTTAGATCAAGATATCACATATTTGCAAAAGTGCTCCGATGTTTTCAGAGACGTCTGTTACCCACCAGCTCGATAGCTCGCCGGGAGCTCGAAGGTCACTAGAGCTGCCGAGAACGGCAAACTCCCGGCACATCACAGCAACGCGGTCTTTCGCTACTCTGGTTAAACTTGATATATAAGTCACTTAGATAACTTGAAAATGTTATTGTTTGGCTTTTTTCAGTGTTTTATTTGTTTAGGAGTAAATCGGTTTGGCTGGATTAAAGTCATTAGATTAGATAAATTAAAACTTTATTAATCCCCCGGGTGGGTTCCTCCGGGGTTTTCACACAGCTGAATAAACGTCAAACAGAAAACTAATTAAACAGAAGTGTGAGATGGTCGGGAATTTACGCAATCGTCCTGTTATATTTTAGATAGCAAGGAGCAGACGGCCGAGTTTATTAAACTCCAGCGAGACAGCGCTGGCGCAAATCTGTAGGCTAGACTGTCCGGCCTTTACGTCCGGCCTATTGGACATCCTGAGGACCCGGACCACGTGGACCACGAAGGCCGGGTCCTCAGGAGGATACAGCCCATGGTTTTGGATACGCCAATAGTGTCCGTGTTGAATTAACCACTATCCAGATTGATATCTGTTTTTGTGTACACAATGAGTATTTTTGACTGTCTAGACTCTGAAAACTCCATAAGCTCTTACATTGCACTATATCAACAAAACATACTTTTATGCTTGAGATAACCACTACATTGTGCTCTTTGTTGTTGCTGTGTGACTCTCTCGTCCACATAAACACACAATGCCCTGAGAGAATTTCTTCAGATTTTAATTTGGACTGCGAAATTACCTTGAAATAAACTTTCAATTTTTGTGATTTTTGTGATCTCTTTCTTAATAGGCCTTAGTAGACTATTATTTCACAAATTTGCACAGACATGTTGGTAAACTGCATCTTGGTGTTAATAGTTTTTAACCTGGTGCCTCTGAGCACTATATTGACATCTTTATACAGTATGTAAATATTTTACAGAATCCTTGGGTACAATGCAAGCTTAAGACATTTAATATGAATTCTTAGAAGTGCAGCTTTTTATACAATCTGTGTATGTTTTACTTGACATCAAAGTTGTGATGAGCAACTTCTTTTATTTTATTTTCTTGTTCTATTCGTTTTATTGACCACTTTTTAATACAAAATTGGCATAAAATGCCAAGATAAAGTATGCAAGACTTGGTTGCCTCAAATAGCCTTTGGCAAGATTTATTCGGGATTTACCACTAGGCGTTACCAGAACACCTAATACTTGTTATTAATCTCTGTTTCTCTCCCACAGCATGTTTTCCTTCTCTCACCCCTCACAGCAGATGGCCGCCCCTCCCTGACCCTGGTTCTGCTGGAAGTTTCTTCCTGTTAAAAGGGAGTTTCCCCCCCCCCCCACTGTCGCCAAAGTGCTTGCTATAGGGGGTCATATGATTGTTGGGTTTTTCTCTGTATGTATTATTGTAGGATCTACCTTACAATATAAAGCCTTGAGGCGACTGTTGTTGTGATTTGGTGCTGTATAAATAAAATTGAATTGATTGTTACACTTTAGTAGAGATACCAATGTGCACATGCACAACCTTAGGCCTGGTTTATGTAACCGTGGCTTATATTTGTAATATTAATACAGAAAATGTTCCATCTGTAAAACTCTGTTTCACACATTCAACTACTTTTTCTAAAGGAACAGAAAGAAAGAAGACATTTAGACTTTATGGTCTCTAGATATAAATGCAAAGGTGTTGCAGGTCCAGCATAGGGTACTTGATGAGTTTTTTTAGGTTATTTTGTGGGTGTGCGCTGTGCACGGTTTGAAAACGCTTTGGCAGGATGTGGTTTAAATTACTGTTTTCAGACTTCAAACAAAGTCATCTTTAAAACAGGATGATGATCGCACCAGTCTGCCTCATGATCAGTAAGAAAACTGACTTTTTATTCCATATTTGTCAACAACAGATCTTTGTTTGTTTCTATATTTATAGCTTGCATGCAGTTTTTTCTCATTTGCAATGAGTCAATTCTTAAATGATGGTCAAAGTTTTAAAAGCAGTTTCTGAAATTCTTTAAAACACTTTGCTACATGTGAACATCAGAAAGCATATTTGTTTTTTTCTTCTGTAAATCATTTGAGAAATGAGCCGTGTTGGCTTAGAGCCAAAGGGTTTAAGGGTCTTGTGAGTGGAGTTTGTGTCTTTGTTTGGACTGTGTGAGTTCCTGGTAGTCTAACTTCCTCCCACGGTCCAAACACATGCCTGTTGGGTTAACTAGTTATTTTAATTGTTCACAGGTAAGGATGGTTGTCTGTTAACGTTTAGCTCTGTGATGGACTGATGACTTGAGTCCTCGGGTGTAATCTGTCTCCAAGCCCCTGTTAGCTGGGCAGATTCCTGATTTTGTGCGTTTTATGATTTTGAATTTGAATTCCTCTCGTACATGTTAATGCGACATCAGCTGTCATGGTTATTATAACTCCCATCACTTGATACATGGTGGAATATTTACATGGATTAGTTTTCCCTGAAGCTAAAATTAACCCTTCTTGAACATTCATGGTCAGAAGTTTCCATACACTCATCAGGGGAGTGAATGTTGAGGTAATTGTGGGCTTTTAATGGTTTCTTCAACTGTTCTTACATCTTTAATGACTTTAAAAAACTAAACAAAAAAAGGTTGAAATTTTTGGTTAACATTTAACAAATATTAGTGACAGCCAACAACAAGCTGCAAGCATAATTCTGATGGGAAGTTTGACCTCTCTTATTGGCAGAATGTTTTGGTTCTGGGTCTTTGACCCAGCTCTTTGACGTTACTTTTTTAGGTTAACATATTTGTTGATGTTTGATTTTTTGCTTTGTTAAGAGGTTTTAGGTTTGGGTTTTGGTTCTTCTAATGTCATTGGGTTTACAGCTTTCCCCACTTATGTCTGTGTCTGCTCGCCTTCTGTGGTCTTGCTCCCCTTCTCTTTGTGTCTTGTCTCCCTCAGTTGTCCCAGGTTTTCCTCCTTGTGTTTCATCCTTGTCTCATCTGTCCTTCATGTGCATCCATGTGTGTTCTCCACAGCCCTTCATGTCTCTCGCCGTCTCCATCTTCTCTTTTTTGTCTTGTTCCCATGTCTGTTTCCCCCTCTGTCCCAATCAAGCGCGTGTGTCTTAGTCTGTGCCTTTGTATGTTACTTCTTAGATCTTCATTCAGATCTTTGGACTTTCCCATTTTTTGAGTATTGGTTAATCTGATGAACGCTGTGAAACAAATCCTTTAGTGCTGACAGACAAAAAGTACCAGTTGTAGTTAATCATGATCACCCATGAAAAGCTGACTGTGTCACTTACTAAAAGATTTAAGTGTATGTATATTGAACCTGAAAGTATTCTTTTGATGTGCAGTGCAGATTTGAGAAAATCGAAAATAAATTCAAATTTGTGCAACCAATTACTTTTTTTTGAAATGGAATAAGGTTAAGATTAGAGATTAAAGTGGAAAGAAAACATTTCAAAGAAATCATTAATCTTGAGCCCCAAAGTAGTTTCTGAGCTTCCTGCTCTAAAAAGAAATACCCAAAATTAATTGATTATTTCTCCGCAAATACAAACGCTGTGCTTACAATTTTGGTATCAAAATAAAATTAAGCAGAAATTCATTAATTTTGCTTAAAAATGCTTGTTTTTTTAATACATTTTTGAAGAATTAACCACACATTTACATGGCAATGGCCCTTTTCTGCCATGCGCATGTAGCGTTTAATTGGCCTCTGGCCCTTTAAACTCTGAGGGGCTGTAACTTTGGTTTCTTTTGGTAAATTTGCATGATTGACATGTCTTTTTAATCGTTTGAGCCAATAGAATCACAGTAATGATGCCACGTTCCTGTCACTTCAACCAATCAGAACTTGCAAGGCCAAACTCAACGTGGCCCCAAAATTACTACATGTGACCTCCATCCAGTCACGTGTCTGTAGGTGGGTCTAAAATGTAGGTTGTTGACGGAAATGGCTCTGATGCCATTAGTTAGCCTTGGAAACTGCTGATAATCACGTGGCTAAGAGCTAACTGCGAAATCTGAACAGTAAGCCATTTTCTGTGTTTTTGTGGTCTTCTTTTGCGGCTCGTTCAGTGAATTTTGGTCAGAGTGTTGTGAAACTTGGTGTTTGGAATCGTTGATATCTCTGGAAGATAACTCACCTTTCTTTAGCTGGTTACATAAAGTCTGGAGAATTTCTTGTTTGGTTTTGTTTGTTTAGCGGACATTTACGTAACTGTTGGTTTAATCATGACTTGTTTTCGTTCTGTTTAGTTTTTGTAGAAATGGTTTATATGAGATTTTAACTGAGATTCAGAGGTTTTTGTGGATACCGCACATGTCCGGACTTATATTTCTGACACCGTGTTATAACCGATTAAACGTGAGCTCCTCCTTTTTACCCCTGGTAGCGGGGCGTGGGGCTTAAAAGCCTAACATTACCATGTCGTTCTTGGCAATGTTGAGTTTGTGGAAACTTTTGTCCAAAACGGGCGCTGGTTTCAATCTATGCAGTGGCAGAAAAGGTTTCAGCATCTATGTCATTGATCTTCTCACACTGCGTGTACTACATGTCAACTGATGTGTTTTAACCTGATGTTTTTGAACCTGCAGCTGCTACTCTGAGCATCCATCCCGGCAGGTCAGTCTTCTTTTATTATGAAACCGTGACTCTGAGCTGTGCAGTGCCAGGCAGCTTCAGCAGCTGGACAGTGAAGAGAAACACCTCCACAAGGTCTTCTGTTTCATGTGAAACCTGGGGCCAATTAAATGGATCCTCCTGCACCATCAAAGGTGTCTACCCATCAGACAGTGGAGTGTACTGGTGTGAGTCTGACAGCAGGGAGTGCAGCAACACCATCAACATCACAGTGACAAGTAAGCTTGCTAAGTAATGTCAGATTGTTGATGTTGTATCTTAAGTAAAAATAAAATTAACACATTTTGCAATTTTTTTTAACTAAGAACAAAACCAGAGTCAGAGACCACAGTTTCTCTCTCTGCATTTCAGCTGGTGTCATCCTGCAGGGTCCTGCTGTTCCTCTGACTGAGGGAGACAGTGTGACACTAAACTGCTCCTATAAGGAAAAATATGCAAAGGAGTCTACGTCCAATTTCAGTACTGCTTTCTACAGAAATGGTACTTTTTTTGAAAAAAAGCCTGCGGGAAGGTTGAGCCTTATCCATGTGTCCAAGGAGAACGAAGCCTTCTACAAGTGTGTTCATCCCACAAAAGGACAGTCACCAGAGGTTTGGCTGGAAGTGAGAGGTGAGGATGATGTTAGATTTCATGAAGCTTTTGTCTGACAGCTTATAAATACTTTTACATACATAAAGCAGTTTCATTTATAACTTGGTGATTAAATGGGATGTTTTTTGTATAAACCTGACCACAACTTATTAGCAAAACCTGTATCACCATAATGCACCAGTATGTCTACCCCTGTATGCTGCCTGGCAGGTTTAAAGCTGTAAGTTTTAAAGAGTAAACTAAATCTTAACATTTCTGGGACATTGATTAACCTAAAGTTTTATATTCCTAAATCAAAAGTTAACCAAGTAGTTTTCAGTTTTATTCTCGCTGTTTATCGTCACTTCTAAGATAAGATAAGATAAAACTTTATTAATCCCTCGGGTGGGTTCCTCTGGGAAATTCTGTTTCCAAAAGCACAGCACCGACAGAAGTTACAGTTACAGAATATTATATGTATATATACACACACACACACACACACACACACACACACACACACACACACACACACACATATAAATACAGAGACATATATAAATAAAATATACAAAGGGGATAAATAGAATAAATAGGAATAAAAATAAAAATACAAGTGAATTGCACATTTCAAGTATTGAGGTCTATTGCACCATTGACTATTAACAAAAGTATTGCACAAAGTATTGCACAGTGAGGTGAAGAGGCACTACAGCTTAGTTGTTCCCCCTCCTTTGTCCTCCTGTTTCCCCTCCCTCTCCCCTCCAGAGAGGAGTTAAACAGTTTGATGGCGTGTGGGACAAAGGAGTTTTTAAGTCTGTTAGTTCTTGTCTTGGGGAGAAGCAACCTGTCACTGAACAGACTCTTCTGGTTGTTAATGGCCGTGTGCAGAGGATGCCCAGCATTGTTCATAATGTCCAGCAGTTTCTTTAGTGTCCTTTTCTCTGCCACTGTCTCCCACCTCCAGCTGTGAGGTGGGAGAAGTGATGTGTTACCTTGTCCAAACTATATATCACAGCAGCTGTAACTATCATTTTGTAATTCCCCCTTCATTCTTCCTGTTATCCTTTTGCCATAACTCACACTCATGACACTCATCTCTGCCCACAGCACCTTGCCTGTACTCTCTTCTTTGCCTCTCTTGTGCACTGTCTCCCACATTCACAAACATGTATTTTAACTTACTTCTAGGGACTTTCATTCATCTTATCTCCAGAACTTACCTCCACCTCCCCAGGCTCTCTTCCACCTGTTCCCCACTCTCTTAATACAAATTTCAGTGTCATCTGCAAACATCATAGTCCACAGAAACTCCTCATCTGTCAGCTTGTCCATCACCATCTCAAATAAGAAGGAGCTCAGAGCTGATCTCTGATGTCATCACAACCCCATCATAAACCCATCTGTTATTCCCACCACGCCCCTCATGACTGTCTCATCCTGTTACATGTCCTGCAACACCCTTCTCGTGTACTTCTCTGACACTGACGTCCTGACTTCTGCACACAGTACACAGTACAAAGTCACTATGTTGCACTCTATCACATGCTTTTTCTGGTGTCTTAGAGTCCTAGGGTCTAGAGAAGACACTAGAGAAATAACCAGTTCTTTTCTTAAACACACAACTATGATGTAAATGAAGCTGGTATTTGGCAAATAAATGCTTTAACCGATGTCCCAGAATGAGAACACACTGCCGGCCGACATCCCTACTAAAAAAGAAAATAAATAAAAAGGTCAAAAGAGAAATGTGCTAGAATTTTAGATTTGGTTTAAAATATTTATGGAGTAATTTGCTTTCTTATCCAGAAATGAAATGGCTGTGTGTTTTGTTATAAAACCTAACTATGTAGCAAATGAAATGAAATGTCACATGAAGCGTGTCACCAACATGAAGCGTGTCAGGTTTTTTCATATATATGAGCTGCTTCCTGGATATGCAGCGGTTCTACCACAGGAAGTGGTACTGTAGGCCAGGTATAAGGTTTGTCATACATCTCATATCCTTATGCTGAAAACTTTGACTCATTTCACAGAAGCTCTGTTTTTCATGTCCTGATGTGGTTCCTTGAAATGTTTTGGTGAAATGCACAGTAATCTCTGCATATGTATCAACACGAAATATGGATTTTAAATTAACGTTTTTTATGAAACACTCGCTCTAAACAGAAGAACTGATGATAAAACTTTATCTCCTAACAGAGAATAATATTCCCGTGACCACCCCTGATCCTGATCCTACTCCTCCGATCGCTCTGCCCAAACTTTTGAGCACCATCCTACTGTTCATCCTCTACACCTGTATACTCATACTGGCTGTGTACACCTACAGGAAGTGGGCTCAAGGTAAGAAAACTTTAAAAAAATCCTGATTATGTTGGTTTATGTCAATTTTCGTAAAGGGGTCAGAGGACATAGGTGCTGATTTATTATCATATATAATGAGTAAACTTTACAAAAACTAAAATTTCACTCTGGACATTAAGTTCACAATGTCAGACTTTTAACCCATTAGCCCTTGTGCTCATGGTGCCACACTAGTTGCAGGCTTACTTGCAGATGCTGCGCCTCTCTTACTGATCTTTAACATGCACTTTTTTGGAAGGCCTTTACTGCAATAAGACAGTGGAGAGAAGACATGAAAGCTGGGAGCAGAACTCAGAGTAAAAGCTCAGGTTTCTGTATTAGCTTTATGACATATGCATCACCTGCTGAACCCAGTGAGCTAAACCACTGCTGTAAATGTGCGTTCTTATTGAGAGTATAATAACTCTTAAACCTCCAGAGTTGTTTTGGTATTTGTCTCTGTATCTTGCAATGCTTTGGGAGATCATTGAAGAAAAGTAGCATTACCTCACTCTGTCACTATTTGTAAATACATTTCTGAAGTTCAGTTTTAGATCCATGACGTTCAGGCTGGATTTTATTACTTTAGTCATCAGGCACAAACGTTGCTTTAAAGATGGAATCTGACTGCATGAGGTTGCAGACCTGAAGCATCAGGCATCAACCTGATGCTTGAACCCAAAAAGTTGATTCTGCTCATCTGGATGTAATGTTTTCAGTGGTAGAAACATTTGGTCACTCATCCAAGTGACTTCTTCAGTCTCAGCTGACTGCACGTTTCCCCAACCTTACAGCTTGAAATGAATAGGCCTCACCTTTTTTTAAAAAAAATCAAGAGCTTTGAAAAGAATGAGCAAAATGATAAAATCCAACATTAAGGTCTGAAATATGAAATTATGTAATCGTAATGGAATTTCAGTGCTGATTGTTGTGTTTCCCATCTTGGCACCAAGTATTTATGGGTTTAATGCAGTGCTGTGAGCCAAAATGTCATTTTTTTATCTGTCTGTGTGAATGTATTGGTGGTAGAGCAGGTTATTTACCAGTCAGAAGGCTACAGTAGAGGTTACTGCTTACTTCACCCTCCATTAAATCTAAAATGTCCTCTTTTTCATGCAGGCCTGGACATCGTCACTGTCAGAATTTCACCATTTTACTTTTGCTTCTTAAGCTGCTGCTTGGTGGGCATTTGGAGCCAGAACAAGCTAATGATATCAGACCTAACACATAGATAACGATCATCATGTCACCTGAAGGCAACGTCTGTTTGACTGAGTGAAACCATAGAGTAGAAACAGTTATTATAATCTTTGGTTCAGTCTAACCACATTAAGGGGAGCGGGGCCTCCACAGTGGTGCAAAGTCAAATGACACCATGTGATGCAGCCCCCTGGTGGTGTCTGAGTATGTTCATGCTCCTGCAGCGAGGATGGATGTTCACTTGTTTGCATCACATTTCACAGCAAAGTTTCCAGCTGCTGTTGAGTCATTTCTGTGGCAGAACAGCTGACAGACAGTTTTCTGATATCCTTGTTACAGTCAATGTGTCAACAGAGCTGGTTCTCTGGAAACAATAGGTGTTGTTGTTGCTGTTGTATGAAGCAGCTTATACGTGACTAAATGTCATCTTTGAAAAATGTCGAACTATAAATAGTTTTTGTTCTTCCTGCAGCTCGAGCTGAAGCTGAAAGGAAATGGCCTGATCATCTCTAACTCGAGTGCAGGAAGAAGATGATCAACAATCAACATATCACTGGGATTAAAGCAATAGTCTTACACTGATCCTTTCAACCTTAATAACCTCTCAGCAGCAATGATGTTCGATTTTGTATGAATCTAAAATTATATAAACTGAACAGAAAACTGTCTCATTTTCGCATTTGATGAGTTTTATCTTTAAAGGACAAATTGAGTGTCACAATGTTATGAAGAAGCACTCTGAGAGTGCAAACCTTCACCAGTGCCGCTCACGCTCCAGGCTGCATTTGTTTTATATAGGATTGTATATACAAACTAGTATATTGTCTTTTATAAACCTGTTGTAAGAGATTTGTCAAATACTTCTTTAATTTATAATTTGTCCTGTGGTTTAATGTATCATTTTATGCATCAGTGTCTGTCTGTATTACTGCTGTTCTAAATACATCAAAAAATATATGTTCTTACTTTTAGAAACATTACTCTTGTGTTACTCTGTAACCTGGCATTAACTATCTGCTGTGGTAAGTGGGATGAAGAAATAACCAGTAACCAGGCAGATGTGCCTTTGACATCAAAAAATTTGAAAAATAGTCTCACAAATGTCCTCATCAGCATTGTGTCTGTCTCCACCTTGTGGGCATTTTTACACTTGTTGCTTATTTTAATGCAATCTGAACATTTTATATAAAGTAATTAAAATACTTATAATGTTGGTTTAGAAAGTTCCTTTCATAAAAGATGACCCAGCGTCCCCTCTGGTGAGTAATTAAATAATCAAACACGGAAGTGGCTTAAGTCAGACAGCTCTTATTTTGGCTGACAGAAACTTTGGGGACATTCACTGAGTAACCTTTAAAACCGTAGAAAGCAAAACTGGCCATCTGAGCACACTTCCTGAATTTAAGAATTAAAACTGAAACATGGATGTTGATTTAAAGAAGAAAGAGGCAAAATGTTTTATTCTCCCACACACTGTGGACTTGTTTTTTTTCTATAATATGAAATCCATGGAGTCTCTTCTCACTTTCTCACTGTGGACTCTCATCCACTGCTTGGATTTCGTTAAAGATAAATCAATATGTTTCTTATACAGATGTTACTTTTAGTTATTTTTACACGAGTTTATGGTTTGTGAGTCATGAGCTTTTTTCAGTGCAGCGTGAACATTAATAATCCTCTTATCATTTGTCTTCACTGTGTAACTGCATAGGCTTCTGAGTGTTTTGACACTCTGTGGTACTTTTTGGAAATCACAGAAGTTCTTAGTTGGAGTTCAGATCTGTGGAACATCAGGGGAATAAAATGGGTCTGTGGGTTTTATCCTAGTAGCTCAGGGTACTGTTGGCTAAACAGTGGATGCCAGTTTGCCCCTCCAATGATACAGCCCAGCAGACCTTGACTGTAATATATAAGCATGTACAGCAGAATAATATACATCTTGATCCAATTTTAGTTATAATGGTTGTTGTAGCTCGTCTCTTCATATTTGCTGGTCTAATGGAATATTTATTCTGACTCTCATGTTAATCTTTTGTGAGTCTCCCGTCTCTTTTAGCACTTACGATCAGTGCAGGTTACTTCTCTGATATTCATGTCATTGATCTCCACATACTGCATTTAGTCTACTGCATGTTAACTGATGTGTCTCGACCTGATGTTTTTGAACCTGCAGCTGCTACTCTGAGCATCCATCCCGGCAGGTCAGTCTTCTTCTATTATGAAACCGTGACTCTGAGCTGTGCAGTGCCAAGCAGCTTCAGCAGCTGGACAGTGAAGAGAAACACCTCCACAAGGTCTTCTGTTTCATGTGAGACCTGGGGACAATTAAATGAATTTTCCTGCACCATCTGATGGCTTTTAGGAACAGTTATCTGGTAGTCTAGGAGTAAAAACAAAATCAGAACAGTCATCATCCTGTTTCAGTTTTGGTGCCTACGTAACCCATAATGCACCACAGCAGCATATAGTTCAGTCAGACATTTGAACCATAGAGTCAGATTAACCTTTAAGCTTTTTCACCCACCTACACAACAATACTCCCTAACTCCCGGTTTGCCTTTGATTTGACAAAGGCAAATAAGTTGTGGTGTGGTAAGACATGTAGATATCTTCCAGCATTGATCGTGCCTCTTCAGATGTGCAAACTGTCAGTCCCATAGGGCACAAATGCACACCCTGCTTCTCTTCAGAGGTCAAAGGTTCCATGTTTTCCTTAAATAATTTCCAATTTGATTCATCCAACCAGGGAGTAGTTTCCTGATTTACCTGAGTCCATTTTAAATGAACTTTAGCACAGAGAAGATGTTTCTGGGTCGTGTTTGCATCATGGCTTCTTCTTTGTATGTTAGAGCTTTATCCTACACTTGTCAAAACACTGTGCACTGTCTTTGCACTCAGTGATTTCTGTTCCTCAGTCCATGCATTGATTTCCATGACAGCCTGTTTGTAATGAAATGCCAGATGAGAGCCAGGTCTGGACTGGTAATCTGCCATACTGAGCACTTCCCTAAGAGAGGAAAATAAAAATAAACTCACAATACGTGCAGAAAAATGTGTAAAGTAAACAACATCTTAGCTGTCAGGGCTACTGGTGCACCATCAAGGGTAGTACCAGCACAGCTAGTAACAAGCCCTCTCAGTCACAGGAGATGTGCAGGAGGAAGGACCATGGTCGTGACAAAAGAGTAAGGAAGGTAAAGTTAACGTAACAGCACTTGGCACCTATTCTAAAGTTGTTCCACAGTTTTTAGAAGCAATCTTGTGCCACTACATGAAATGTCAATTTTCTTTATTTACTTTTCATGTAACATTTGTTCCTAAATAGAAAAGATGATGACAAAACCGTTTCTGTGTCACAACTCGAGCTCCGTCTATTACACTTTGTGAAACAGATCCTTGGTTGTGGCTCATCAGATGACCTCAGGCATGTTTGTTTGTTGATGTTCATTAAGTGAAGACAGATATTGATGTTTTCAGCACAAATGTCACAGCAGATAAAGACAGACAATTATCATCAGGGATTCTTATTGTTGTTAATGAGGTCAGAGGTCAGAGCTAGTTCTCATGGCAACAATAGAAGGTGCCACTTTTGTATAGCACTGCTTATATGGGATTAAATTCTGCTTTTAAAAAAGGTCCCACTACATATAGTTTACATTGGATGAGTTTTTTGTTTAAAAGACAAAAACAATGATTATGTCAATGTCAAAATGTAAATAAGCTTCATGCTAGGCTTCATAGGTCAATACTGGCACTTCTCATGCTAATGTAGTAATGTTTGTCTCTATTATTATGGTTAAAATCAAATAAAAAGTAATGTATGTGCACCACCTCTTTTAACTGACATCACTTTAAAATCAAGATGTCAGAGCACTTATTTGATGCTGACTGAACTCCTCATCTGTTCATCACATCTGCTTGGATCTGTGGCAGGAGGAACTAAGATTGTTTGAAGACAAAGCCAGGAAAAAAGCCTGTTCTTCTGCAGTCCAACACAACAAATACAGAAACGGTATGCACCAAACCTCTGGTAAATGTTCATTGCGTGAAAAAGGTCTACAAAAACCTGGAAAATAGCATAGGAATTGGTCCATTAATACATTTCAATTTTCCACCAGTTTCTAGTATCTGAACATGTAATATGCATAAAATCAGAATGTGATTCTTTGTAATTATTTTTTTTCAAATAATGTAAAGTCAATTACCCAGTAGCAATCAAATCCATTTGCTACCTGACACCAAATTGGTATAGTGTACTTTTCAGCATGAAGGTACTGAGGAAGACTCTGGTTTTAAAGTGTGATGCACTGATGTCCCTGAGCAGCAGTCCTGTGGTTGTTGTTTTTTTTGTTTTTTTTTGAGTAACTGCTGTTTCAAACCCAGCCTCTATTTTTAGCCTGGTGGTTCTGAATAAACTACATTTTGTCCGGGAAACACAAAGTACTGAGGATAATGCTTCTGATCAGAATTTCCGACTGGTGTGATGAAACTTTCCTTAGTCATAAAAGCAGAATCCCTGGTGGAACCTGTATTTTATTTTCCAATGAATTTACTCCTCTTTTGATTGCCATTAATAAAGTAATTGCAGGTCACACTACATAAAATAAAAAAAAGATGTTTTTATAAATGTGTGTGCTCCAACCTCAATTCCATTGTTTCCTTTCCAGGACTATGGCCATTTCCACATTATTTTTTTCTACAGACTTTTATTATTGGTTTCAGATGCAGTAAAAAAAAGGAAACTTATCTTTAAGTTAGTACTCACATGAAGACATTTTTTAATTGTTTCTTGATTTATAGAAATGTTTTGTTGTATTTTGTTTAAATAACTGCTTCAGGGAATACCTGATCTCATTCTCTGAGTGGATGAGGTATACGGGTGGGTCTGGGGATGCAGAATGACTCCATTGTGCTGCTCATTAGGTTGTCTGAGGTTTTTCTGAGGAACTGCTACCAGCTCGGGTCAGGAGCACCTGACTCTGACTCACCACTCCTCAGTGAAGGAGTTTAGTTTGGCTGTTGGATAGTTGATCGGGTGTGGCATTGCAAAATGAGGCTCCGGCAAGATACTGAGTAGCTAAACCTACACGCTGAGAAAGTCCAGAATGGAAAGATAAAGAAAAGATAAGATAAAGAAGCCCTAAAAACAAAGTAACTGAACATTCTGAATATAATTATGGGTGATTTAGCAGAGAGTGTGCTTTGGATAAAGCATGTTAAGATTGGTGGTGAATGCTAAGTAGAAAACACAAAAAAAAGGAAAAAGAGGCAGAAAGCATAGACAAAAGTTTCTTGCATTAATGGATGAATGAGGCATGTTGTGTAAAGTGCTTCAAGTGCTCAAGTACAATAAAAAAAAGTGCTATGTAAAAACTAGTCCATTTACAATCACCAGTGTTCCATCATTCATCAGAAACGAAGCAGGAGTTGTCTAAGCATGCACAGCTCCTCTCTGCTATTAAAATCATGCTTCTTGGCTGCAAATCTCCTTGCTTAAAACATTGTTTTCTCCTTTAAAATACAGGTTTTAATGACTCTCACGGGGGATAAAGAATTGAGCATTGCTTTTCAAGATTGAATCGATAACTTTTACTTTGTTCTTCATATAGTATCTGAAAATATGAAATGCTTCAGATGCGGGATGGGGGAGCATCCCAAGTAGAGACAGCTGAACAAGTAGGTAACAAACAGATGAATGTAGATATGGAAAAAGGCACAAGGCAAGTGATAAAAAAGGAAAAGAGTGAAAAGATGAAAGAACTTTACATGCAATGTGGTGAACAGTGTTGGTCAAGTTACTTGAAAAAAGTAATCAGTAACTAATTAATGATTACTTCCCCCCCAAAAGTAATCCCATTACTTTATTGATTACTTATTTTCAAAAGTAATTAGTTACTTAGTTACTTATTATAACATGATTTATACCCTGAGTAGGTAGCGATAGATCTTTCAGCCCAATTCTACTTTTCTGCATAATGCATCATATAAAATGTATTCAAATGAAAAACCTCTTTTTAAAACTTGTTTTATTAGTTTTAACCTTTTAACTTTATGCATCAAGCAAAAAATAAATTATATGCAACATTCTCTGACTGGAAGAAATTTGTTTAACATTTAAACCTATTTTCTGCACATTCCTGCACATAAAATAAGATATCTTTTGTGTTTACACTCAGTCTTTCAAATAGATGCAAGTAAAACACAGCAGAAAATAAATAAAATCAAAGACTCAGCGGTCCTGTTGCTCTATTTTCACCTGTTTAGCAGGCGGATGTTTGCCCTGGTGCAGGTGAGCCGCAGCGGTTATGTCAGTGGAAGAATCTCTGTGAATTTCCCATTACGTCGTTGCGCACTCGGTGCTTGCTCGGAAGTTTAGGGGTTTTTTTTGCTGCAAAAAGAAGTTTTCTTCCCACGCAGTGAACAGAGGACGCTAATGTTTTTGTCACTTTTTACAGAATCAAACTCAAAGTAAGGTCAGTACTTCCACGCTTTAAACACTGCACGCTCATACTCTCTCCCACACTCGATATATTATCCAGTGTTGCTCTGCACACAGCTGTTTAACACAGCGTGCTTACGGGAAAGTAACAGTAATCTAATTACCTTTTTTGCAATAGTAATCCCTTACTTTACTCGTTACTTGAAAAAGTAATCGGATTACAGTAACGCGTTACTGCCCATCTCTGGTGGTGAAACGGTGGATGTTGGTGGAATGAAGGAACAGACAGGCTAAATTCTTTCATAGTAACTCAGTCAGTGTGGGAGGAGGAGGATGTTGTAATGGATGAAGACTTTCAATTTTTATATAAAGAGGAAGAACATTAAAACTAAACAACAAAAACGTGAGGTGAAAAAGGTCTTGAAGGGACATTCAAAAGTCCCTCTGCGTCATTCACAGGGACATGGTGAATCAGAGGTAGAAGGTTAAAATAAAAAAAGAGAATAACTATTTCTTTGTTAAAATTAGAAAGTTTTTGGAAGACACAACAGGATCCATAAAGATGATTCACCTGGATCCACTTCCCCAAGAGCTTAGGCTCTCTGCCAGAGTCAATATGAAAAACACAGCAGGGCTTGGACAGGAAAAAGACAGTAATGAGGGTGATGCTGCTGACTATAAGAGAGAGTTCATGTGTCATTTCACTTAGTCATGAAAGTCATAAAAGTAGCGTCACTGATGGAATATGTATTTGCATTTCCAATGAATTTAAGCCTCTTTCTGTTGACGTCACTGACGTATATGCAGGTCACAGTTTAAAAATCAGGCACTAAGAGAGAAACTGTGTCCCACTGTTTCCTGGACCGCGACTGTTGCCACTCTGTGTTGGAATTTGGAGACCGTTCCATTTATTTGGAGAGTTGCTTCATTCTTTCCTTCCTGGCTTCAGGTACAGTCAAACTAGGAGTTAAGTAAACCATGTTGGTTGTTTACATCAGCAGAAAACAGAAAACAAATTGTGACGTTAAATTAATGTTACAAACATTGATTATCAATTTTATTGTAGGATGAATGATCTGAAATGGTTTGAAAATATTTGTTTGCAGTCATATGTTGTTTTCTGGAAAGAAAACACATGAAGAGAGAAATATTTGAATGGAATTATTGCTAATTATTGCGAGTCCAAAGAGAATTTTTTATATAATAGTAGACTATCAAATGCTGTTAATAACACTGGTTTCAGTGTATTTTCACCGGAGCACAGCTTGTCTTTAACACACTATTCATACAAGAAGAGTATGAAAAACAGCATGCACGTCACTGCTGTTTTATTGATAGTTCCAGGTTATTTCTGTAAATGTTCTGTGACAAACTCAGATTTTTTTCATCCTTTCTGTATTGAATTGATAGTAGCTTTTTTTTCCCACAGAGACACTAACACCACTATGAAGCTGCTGACTCTGTGTGCACTTCTCTGTGCAATGATAGCTGTAACCACGGCTGGTGGTGAGTATTGCAGTATAATTTCAATTATTTACATATGAGTGTAGTTAAAAATACAAATTAATAGTAAAATATGCATCTTATTTATGAGAGTTAAAGCAAAGGGATTGATGCCCACAAGTGAAATACACTTTCCAGATTTTCAATAACTAATGTCATGCTGAATCCAAGATAATAGATAAGATATATAAGTTACCATTGTTACAATTAATTATATTGTCTTAATAAATACAAAGCATGCAGCTATATATATATATATATATATATTATATATATATATATATATATATATATATATATATCAACATGAAGGAAAGACAACGCCGTGTACTTCATACACATAACTGCACACCAGTACACCACCAAACCTTTAATTATTGTTTATTTCTCAAATGTTACTTGTATGACTTGTCAGTTATTGGATATATAATAATTAAAAGTAATACAAAATAAGATATTAACCAGAGACACATATACAACTGCTCATTTGTCCACAGCCAAGAGTCACCTGGTCAAGAGGTGCATTTATTGTCCTGATGGTTGGAATCAACCCCAGTGTCCTTACGGTTGGACTCAAGTCGGTAGTCGCTGCTTTACCTACAATCAAACACCCATGAGTTGGGATTCTGCTAAGGTAATTTTATTTTACTTTTATCATCTTTAACACCTGATTGAACCACTCATTGTTTTAAAAAACCTCTGCTTTGTCCCTCTTCATTGAAGAGACACTGCTGGGGCTTGGGGGCAAACCTTGCATCAGTGCACACTTACTGGGAGCACCAAAGGCTCGTGCAGCTGCTTGGCAACACGCCAGTTTGGATTGGAGGAAGCAAAGGACTCAAGGTATATTGTCAAAAGAAAATGTTAATTCCCACCTGCAGTGAAACCTAACTAATGATAACATATACAATATTATGTCAAAAATGTCAATCAACAATCTTGGGTGGAGATCTGAGGATCTGCCTTTTAGAGATTATTAACCAGGTAAATAATATGTGAGATTTGCCAGTTAGATATACAGAAAGTTATGCGTGGTTGCATTAAAGTGAGCTGATCTGTTGGTTAGGATTACACACAGGCCTGTCTGAAGTACTTTTTTTTCAAATTTTGTCTTCTACAAGGGTACTTGGTTTTGGAGTGATGGGACAGGTTCCTTTTTTTCACAATGGTGCTGGGGAGAGCCAAGCAATGGTTACTACGAGAACTGTCTGCAGATGAGTTCTCGAGGTAATTTAGAACAGTTATCAACGAGTGCTTAATGTGTATGACTGGTTGAAGTGATCAAATATACAAGCCATAAAGGCTGGTTCTTTAGGTTTTTCATTTGAATGATTTCTGCTCTTGAATCTTGCAGATTCAAATTGCTGGCTTGATTCATGGTGTGGATATCATCTGCCATCTGTTTGCGCCAAGAATATCGTCAATTGACAGTGTTGGACTGACACTCAAGCACGAAACTCCCATAAAACACACACTGATGTGTGATGGTGTTTGCTCTTTTTTGAGGAATAAAGCTTCAAGCAAACATGTCCGTCTTCTTTTGTGGCACATACACATATTTTAAGCAGTTATATGCATTATTTTTTCTCTACCTTGTATGCATGTACAAGTTATCTTGACCAGTTACCAGACCATTACAGCTAAGATGTGTTGTACAATTTGTATTTACTCCCTGATGTTTAAATGTGCTGCCAGATTGGGTGAGCATGCTATGATAATTTCAACTTTTTTTAAACTACTTTCTGTCTTTCTGCCAACAATATTCTTAGTACTCTCTTTGTATACAGTAAAGTAAGAGGAAACTAAGATTTTTCTCTACATGACAATTACAATACAAGGAAACATATCTGTAGCTTGCTGTGCATGTACTCATCTCTGAGCACAGGGAAAATGACAAAAATGAAGGCCTAAATCCTTGATAGTAAGCATAATAAAACACAATAATCTAATGATTTATTGATGATTATACAAGGTTCGATCCTGGATTAATGATTATTTTCAGTTTCTTTCTGGCCACATTCCTTTAGTTTAGCATTATTCAGTATTTTCCTTGCATTCTTATTATTCCTATACTGATAATATTCAGCTATATATGCTGAGGTTCACCGATTGGACAGGTTGTCCACCCTGTTTATCCCAGATTAGTGACTGACTCCTGCCTTCTTTTAAACTCTGGCAAGACTGAGGCTAGCATTGTAGCACCTCCTGATGTTAATTCAAGAATCACTCAAGTCATTCCCTCCTTTTCTGCAAAGACCAGTGTTTGTAATATTTGATTCATCTTTAGGCTTTGACTCACATATAAAACTGATCTCATGTACCTGTTTCTTTCATTTAAGGAACATTTCTTAACTGTGACCTCCTCTTTTACACTAGAAAACTTGTTCATGCATTTGTGTCATTGCACCTAGATTATTGTATTCCTGTATTTATTGGCTTAGATAAATCGTCGCTTTCATGTCTCAAGGCAATACACGATGCTGAAGCCAGACTCTTAACACACTATAGCAAGTAACCTCATATCATCCTTATTTTATTCTCTTTTTATTAGCTCCCAGTTGATTTTAGAATTTGTTTTAAAATGTTCATGCTACTGTGGTGCCAAGGCTCTGGAAATGATTACCACTCCAGCTGACATCAACAAATGGTTTTCTTTCATAAGAACCAACTATTTGCCTACTGTTTAAGCTTCCTGCAGCATCTGCTACTCTCCTTGTAAGCAAAGAACGTGTGAGGCATGGGTGTCCTTATGATTTCTGACCTTATCAATTTTCTGTGATTCTCACCACAACTAAAAGGAGAGCAAACAGTCCAGCAACCACAGCATGTTTCACAATGTGCTGCATGAGTATAGACATAATACAAATGTCATGAGATACAGGACTCGCTTGTTGTGCACAGCACTTGAGTAAATTACCACTGTGAATCATTTGAGTCTCAAAAGCAAAACAAAATTGTATTGAACATAAGAGGCTAGAATTGTGTACTCCATTGCATTTTGTTCATATAAGGAAGTCCAGGGCTATGGTTATGGTAGTGTATGGTTATTGCACATTATTGTTATCATTATACCTTGTTATAAATTTAAATATTATTATTGTTATTGTTGTTACCCCCAAAAAAGTACAGGGAGGTAGCCAATAAGTTCAGCTGTTAGCATTGATTAGGGCTATTGCCCTGTTGTAAAAGTTGTCCTTTGGTCTGTTTGCCCACATGTATATTATAATCTACACAAATTAAATGTGGACAAATATAAATACATGTGCCATGACTAAGGTTACAAAACTGACAGCTAAAGCTCCTTTCAGTGGATTTGAACTATCAGCTTTTATTTTGATACTGATTGTTTTTTTATATATATATTTAAACCAATGAACGATATCCTTAATCTTGAATGCAGCTCTGTGATCAAAAATGCTTCCTGTTGAAAAATAGTTTCACTAATGTCCTCATCATTAGTGTCTGTCTGTCTCCACCTTGTGGACATTTTGACACTTGTTGCTTGTTTCAATGCAATCTGAACACTACATATAAAGTAATATAAATACTTATAATCTTGGTCTAGAAAGTTTCATTCATAAAAGATGACCCAGTGTCTCCTCTGGTTAGTAAGATAAAATAATCAAACACTGAAGCACTTTTCAATAGTTTATGTCAGCCAGCTCTTATTTTGACTGACACGAAGAAACTTAAAGTACATTCACTGAGTAACCTTTAACCCTTTAAAGCCGGTCGGAGCGGACACGCTCCATTTTGCGTAACTATTTTTAAATCCCGGTAGCACTGCAACCACGTAAGCTAGCGCAATAATTTTTTTTGCATATGAAACCGGAGGAGTTGCACTTACATCTTATGCCAGGGGTGTCAAACTCAAATACACAGTGGGCCAAAATTCAAAACTGGAACGAAGTCGCGGGCTAACATTAATATTTATTGAACAAAAAATCTTCCTCTAGATATAAGAATGAATCTTTTCTTATGGACTCAAACAAGTTTTGCTGAAAAACTGAATCGAATAGAATAGAATAGAATTCAACTTTATTGTCATTGCACATGCACAGGTACAGGGCAGCGAAATGCAGTTTGCATCCATCCAGAAGTGCTTTAGTGATATAGATATATTACAATATGTATTAGCAATAGTATAGATATGTAAGTATATTACAGAAATGGGTCTATTATGGTATGTTATAATGTACACGGTATGAAGTATGTTGTGAATATTCTATAACTAAGTATGTACAGGCTGTAGTGAGTACAAGCTATGTACTGTCACGGCTCAGCGGCACGAGGGAACAGGGATGGACACAGGCGCAGAAACCAACCCGGAAGCGAGGTGACAGAAAACAAATGATTTATTTCCGCCCACAGGTAAACAAAGGTGAAACACAAAGCGACGCCACCACACTAGTGGCGCGTAGGATTCGTCGGTGATAATGAGGGCGACCTAGACACCTCTAGGAGACGGCTGAACAGCGGGGACAGCGGGGAGGTAGAAACAGGACTAGGTAGGGACCGGGGGCATTGGTTTCAGATGGAGGGGACAGGTGGAGCGGAAAACCCGGAAGCGGTCGAGGCGTGGGGAGGCAGGCAGGTGAGCGGTGGGCCGGCAGGCCACGTTGTGTAAGCAGCTGGCGGCCCAGGTCCAGGAGGATGGGAGCGAGGGGAACAAGATCTCCACTCCGGGTGCTATCGCTGAGGACAAGAAAAGACAGGTCAGTCATCACACGGCGTTAAGACAAGGTTTAGGATGCTCCACTGAACTAACATGGGAATAGCAGATACTCAGGCGATGAGTGGTTGAGAGCGCAGGTCTGATATACCGCTGGCACGATTGCTCACAGGTGGTCAGCCAGGGAGGGGCAACCGGACTCCGCCTAAAGGAGGAGGAGCCGCTGTCTGAGACCTGCAGGTGCCCAACCAGACCATGACATGTACAGGCTATGAACAGGATATAAATATGAAAAACTATACAGAATATGAAATAAAGAACTTTACAGAAATCTGAGATATACAGCTATACAGAAATGGGAACTATGCAAGTTGTAAACAATTGTAGGATTAAAGATTATTGAATGTACAGAATGATTATTTACACAGAGCTATACAGTAGTGCAGTTAAGATAAGTGAGGGTGTAGATAGTTTCTACAGAGGCTATATAAAGTGCTAGTGGTTGTGAGTGGTGGTTCACTCCATGTTATTATTGTGTGTCTGAGGGTACAGTTGTCCATTGTGGGTGTGTGTATGTTCAGTCCATGAGTTAACGTGGGTCAGATGTCAGGAGGCAGAGTTCAGGAGTCTGACAGCTGTGGGGAAGAAGCTGTTCCGGTACCTGGTGGTCTTATTCCGGAGGCTCCTGTAGCGCCTCCCAGAGGGCAGGAGGGTGAAGAGTCCATGTGATGGGTGACTGGGGTCTTTGATGATTTTCACAGCCCTTTTCAGACACCGCTTCCTGTAGATGTCTTTTATGGCAGGGAGTGGTGATCCGGCGATGCGCTGGGCAGTTTTCACGACCCTCTGAATATGGAACAAGCAAAGCTTAATACTAAACAATATATATATTAGCTGTATAATACCAGTAGGCCAGCTCTAATAGTAATTTGGTATGGCTTCGCTGGCCAAATGTAATTAGGCTGCGGGCCCACGGGCCAGAGTTTGACACCTATGTCTTATGCCATCAGCTTGTCCTAGGTCACGGTTTCCTTCCACATATAGTTTTGCAAAAACTGCATAAAAAGCGCTTGTAGCAACAAAAACATGATATTCCAGAAACACGCTTTGCCAATCCGATCAGCTGTTTGTAACACTTCCTACGTCCATCAGCGTGTGGACATGTCCGCCATGAGCTGCCCGAAACCGGAAGTGACGTCATTTTGTGGAAATGTAGTTTTTTTTACCATCGTGCACTCAAGAGCTTATACTTGTGTTTTTAAAAGTTATGTTTGACTTCATGACTTTCTGTGTCGTTTCTGGGATGCTTAGGACTCATATTGCACTGCTGGAAATAGTTTATTTTGATGCATATGCTGTTATTTTGCAAATTTGCAGTATAATATTTATTTTCGTTTTTCCTGCAGTGTATGAAAATTGGTGTATTTCAAAAATAAAACTATGAAGACACTCAAAATAAATTTCCTGTGGTGGGAAACTATTTTGTGCAACTTTTTTGTATTTACAGTTTTGAGGGATAAGCCTCTTAAATTTCTCTAACTAGAAATATATGTTAAAAAAACAAAAACGATTTTCAATTATATTTGTAGTTTATTGCACTTTTTTGCAATTTATGTAATTACTATGCACCTAATGCATACATATTATTAAAATCTGGGCTATAATGGTTGTATTGATGTATAGCAACTTGAAATGTCACAAAAATGGCTCCACAGCATGTAAAAGTATAATATAAGCTCTAGCGGACTTGGTTCTATGGTATATCTTAAAGGGTTAAAAGCAAAACTGTCCATCTGAGCACACTTCCTTAATTCAGGGATTAAAACTGAAACACGGGTGTTGATTTAAAGAAGGAAGAAACAAATGTTTTATTCTCCCACACACTGTGGACTTGTTTTTCATATTGTTTTCTATAATATGAAATCCATGGAGTCTCTTCTCACTTTCTCACTGTGGACTCTCATTCACTGTTTGGATTTTGTTAAAGGTAAATCAATGTGTTTCTATTACAGATGTTACTTTTAGTTAATTTTACACATGGGTTTATTGGTTGTGAGTTCCCTTTTTCAGTGCAGTGTGAACATTAATAATCCTCTTGTCTTCTGTCGCCACTGTGTAACTGCATTGTAGCTCATCTCTTCATATTTGCTGGTCTAATGGAATATTTATTCTGACTCTCATGTTAATCTTTTGTGAGTCTCCCGTCTCTTTTAGCACTTACGATCAGTGCAAGTTACTTCTCTGATGTTCATGTCATTGATCTCGACACACTGCATGTAGTCTACTGCATGTTAACTGATGTGTCTCGACCTGATGTTTTTGAACCTGCAGCTGCTACTCTGAGCATCCATCCAGGCAGGTCAGTTTTCTTCTATTATGAAACTGTGACTCTGAGCTGTGCAGTGCCAGGCAGCTTCAGCAGCTGGACAGTGAAGAGAAACACCTCCACAAGGTCTTCTGTTTCATGTGAGACTTGGGGCCAATTAAATGGGTCATTCTGCACCATCAAAGGTGTCTACCCATCAGACAGTGGAGTGTACTGGTGTGAGTCTGACAGCAGGGAGTGCAGCAACATCCTCAACATCACAGTGACAAGTAAGCTTGCTAAGTAATGTCAGATTGTTGATGTTGTATCTTAAGTAAAAATAAATGAACACATTTTGCAACTTTGTAACGAAGGACAAAAATCAGAGTCAGAGACCACAGTTTCTCTCTCTGCATTTCAGCTGGTGTCATCCTGCAGGGTCCTGCTGTTCCTCTGACTGAGGGAGACAGTGTGACACTAAACTGCTCCTATAAGGAAAAATATGCAAAGGAGTCTACGTCCAATTTCAGTACTGCTTTCTACAGAAATGGTGCTGTTATTGAAAAAACGTCTGAAGGAAGGTTGAGCTTTATCCATGTGTCTAAGGAGAACGAAGGCTTCTACAAGTGTGAACATCCCACTAAAGGACAGTCACCAGAGGTTTGGCTGGAAGTGAGAGGTGATGGTGATGATATTAAGTTTCATGAAGCTTTCGTCTGATTGCTTTTAGGAACAGGTATCCAGTACTCTAGGAGTAAAACTATAAATCAGAACCCTCATCCTCCTGTTTGCCTATGTAATGCGGATACGAAAGCCGATGCGCCAGAATGTCATGCTGAGTAGAATGATTATTTTAAATACAAGGGGGAGGAAGCGAGTCAAATACCAAGGGCACAAGCAGGTCTAATCGGAAACAGTTTATTTCCAGACAAAAAAAAAAAACAACTCTTAAAAAACATACGCAATAAAATGTTATCAATATACTAAAATCCTAATGGAGACTAAATGGAGAATAAAACAATTGTAAAACCCATAAAAATACAATTTTCTATATTCACTATAATTCCCTGGTGTAATTATGCCAGATGTTTATTACGGGTCCACCAGCAGTCCAGGAATCCCTTCTCCAGAGCGAGGTCCACACCAGCCTCGTCTCCGGCAGATGAGAAGGAGCCTCCTATCTCGTCCCTTCACTAGGCCCAAGATGGGCCTGCACTACATTAGATTTACTTACATACAGTGTCCCAACATTTTTAGGGTCCCAAAAATGTTCAGGGTCTGTGTTTAGCATTCTCAGTAGTGAACGCAAATAAAAACTGACTAAAACACAAGTTGTATAAAGCGCTTTGAGTGCTCAATGAGAGTAGAAAAGTGCTTTATAAGAGCTAGTCCATTTACACAGTAAACTCTTCACCACTATGAACGATGGATTTTCTTTATTTACTTTTCATGTAACATTTGGTCCTCAACAGGAAAAATAATGACAAAACTTTTTCTGTGTCACAGCTCGAGCTCCATCTACGACTGCTCCTCCTCCTCCTCCTCTGATATCTCTTCCCAGGCTGGCATACACAATCTTTTTGTTCATCCTGTTCACTGGTATACTCATACTGTGTATATCCATGTGCAAAGGTTGACTCAAGGTAAGAGTAAAACAAAAAATATATATTTAGAATAATATATTCAATTTCCACACAGGGTCAGAGGTCCAGAACAACATTGTAGCTGCAAAACAAATGTCAAAAAAAATCAATTATAAAACTATTTTTCCAAACTTATTTTGTCAGTCTAACAATAATTCAAGTATGAAATCAGGTGATAGATACATCTGATTGAAAATAACTTAAAAGCAGCAGCAACACTTTAACCTCTTGCTGTGAAAGATTCACGTCTTCCATTTGCAGCCTCTTCCAGTTGGACAGTAGATGCCAACTGACCACAGTGGTGTAACGTAGCTTCTCAACTTATTACACTTTGTGAAACAGACTCTTGGTTGTGGCTCAGCTAGTGACCTCAGGCATGTTTGTATGTTGATGTTCATTAAGTGAAGAAAATATTCATGATTTAAAGACAGACAATTATCATCAGGGATTCGTATTGTTGTTAATGAGGTCAGAGCTAGATCTCATGGCAACAATAGAAAGTGCCACTGTTTATAACACTGCTTATATGGGATTAAATTCTGCTTTTAAAAAAAGTCCCTGTTTCTGTTCCTCCTGCAGCTGAAACTGAGACAAAAATGAGAGAGTCTGATCATCTATGACTGGAGTGTCTGAGGATGAAGATCATGATGAACAATAACGATCATTGTATCACCAGGATTAAAGTAACATTTTTTTGGTTTTACTTTTTTAACTTTATAACTTTTTAACAGCTGATGTTTTGCCTACCCTGTTAGCTCATGACCTGATGATCAATCTGCTGTTTGCACTGAACTGAAAACTGCATAATTCTCACATTTGATGTGTTTTTGGTTTAAAAGACAAAAACAATGATTATGTCAACGTCAAAATGTACATAAGCTTCATGCTAGTCTTTATATGTCAATATTAACACTCCCATGCTAACGTAGTAATGTCTTTATTATTGTAGTTAAAATCAAATAAAAACTAATGTATTATGTTTCATATTTGCTCTGTGTATTACATTTTATAAGAAGTTTCTTTTAGGAAACCAGGGGTACAGGTTTGTGTTGTCATGTCTCCATGTTTCCTGTTTTATTTTGAAAGTCTTGGGTGTCCTGTGTCTTCTATGCTGAATGTGTTTAGTTGTACTTTTTTCCCTGTGATGTCATTATGCTCATTAGTGCCAGCTTTTCCCCAGGTGTTTCCACTTCCCTCATTACCCCTCTGTGTATTTAGTCTGTGTGTTTTCATTCAGTCTTTGTCAGATCATCTGTGCTTCTTTCCTCCACGTAACGTTAAGCTCACGTATTTCACGATTCAACTCAGGTCTTGCGCATGTTCCATGTTCATGTTTTTTCCTCATAGCTTCTCACATGCTCCTGCCCTGAATCATGTTCATGTCTTTTGTCATAGTTGTCATAGTTTAGTTTCTTCCAGTTTAGGTTTTAGTTTAGTTTTCATCCCTGTTCACTTTATCTTGTTATTTGTACTCATATAATCACCCTTAACAAAGGGATTTTTATTCATTCTACATTCAGTTTTTTGTCTGCATTTGGGTCCACTATTTGCTCAACATACAGTCAGTCGACAATAATGTTCTTATAAATAAACAAATGTATCGTTATCTTGTTAATTACTTGTTAATTACTTGGTCAGCAGCTCCATGTTCTGGTGGGATTTGTGAATCTATGTGCACAACAACTGGTCTAAACTATTTTCTTTCCTGAACTGCACCTCAGGCCCCAATTCACTCAATTCAGTCTTTCTCTACCTCACCAGAGACACAGATCTCTTCAAGTCCCCCTCATGCTTTGAGGAAGTTGAGGTAATACATTTGTATGATTGAAGTGGTGTCTGAATACACCACTTCATAGTCTATGTCTCCCCCTTGCTGTCTGATCACAAACAGTCCTTGCCACTTAGGAAGTAACTTTGAGCTTAACTAAGAAGCATTACAAACACTTTGTTTCCTGGTGAAACATGTCTGAGTCAAGACTCTGTGTTGTACAGATACTGCTTCCTGGACCTGAAGCAAATTCTCTTGTAATAACCTACCAAGAACCAGGAGCTTCGCTCACAGGTCCAGAACGTAATGAGTCTAAGTTTTACTTGGACTCATGCTGCTTCATATTTGGATGATGACATCATCCAAGTATGAAGCAGCATATGCGGTGTGTGGTACATGAGGCCGTACTGTACTGCATTGCAAAATACTGTTGCAATGCAGCAACATCTGCATTATTCTATTCTATTAACAAATACAGAAACAGTATGCACCATACTTCTGTTAAACATTCACTGTATGTGTAGACAGCAGCATAGAAAAGGTCTGCAAAAACCTGGAAAATAGTAGTACTGATTTCTAGTATCTGAACATGTGATATACACACAAAATCAGAAAGTCAATTACCCAGTAGCAATCAAAGCAATTTGCTACCTGACACCAACTTGGTATAGTGTACTTTTAGCATAATAGACATGGATAAATCAGCATGAAGGTACTGAGGAAGACTCTGGTTTTAAAGTGTGATGTACTGATGTCCCTGAGCAGCAGTCCTGTGGTTCAGAGTGAAACCCTCTCTTACTGCCAAAAATGGGACACACTGAATGAAAAACGTTTTTTGGAGTAACCGTTGTTTCAAAATGAGCCTCTATTATTAGTCTGGCGGAGCTTAAGAAACTACATTTTGTCCATGAAACACACAGTACTAAGGATAATGCTGCTGATCAAAATTTCTGACTGGAGTTTCGTGGTGAAATGTTCCTTAGTTAAAAAAGCAGCATCCCTGGTGGAACCTGTATTTTATTTTACAGTGAATTTACTGCTCTTTCGATTGGCATTAACCCTTTAAGACCTACCATAGAACCAAGTCCGCCAGAGCTTATCTTTATATTTTTACATGCTGTAGTGTCATTTTTGGGAGCATTTGATTGATTGATTGATTGATTGATTGAATCTTTATTTTGAACATATTGAAAAAGTACAACAACATAGAATTAAAAGAGACAAATGAACAAAGCAAAACAAAAGGAAAACGAGCAACTACAACTACTTTCATGTTCAAAAAGGAGCAGGAAGAAGCATAAGCATTTCAAGTTGCTATACATCAATACAATCGTTATAGCCCAGATTTTAATAATATGTATGCATTAAGTGCATAATTACTACATAAATTGCAAAAAAGCAATAAACTACAAAAAATTAAAAAACATTTTTGGCTTTTTGTTTTTTACATATATTTCTAGTTAGAGAAAATTAAGAGGCTTATCCCTCAAAACTGTAAATATAAAAAAGTTGCACAAAATAGTTTCCAACCACAGGATATTTATTTTGAGTGACTTCATAGGTTTATTTTTGAGTTACATCAATTTCTACATACTGCAGGAAAAACAAAAATAAATCCTATAATACAAATTTGCAAAAAAACAGCATATGCATCAAAATAAACTGTTTCCAGCAGTGCAATTTGAGCTCTAAGCATCACAGAAACAGTTTTTTGTTGCTGCAAATTCTTTTTATGAAATTTTTGCAAAGCTATATGTGGAAGGAAACCGTGACCTCATGGTGAGTCAACTGCTTCTGACCTTAACTGGTAGCAGTTACCGAAAAAAATTCTCCACACCCCAGACAACCTGACCACAACTGTGATGGAGTCATTCTGCATCCCCAGATCCACCCACCCACCATGTCCACTCAGAGAGAGAGAGAGATCAGCCATTTTCTGAAGCAGTTATGTAAACAAAAGCCAGCAAAACATTTCTATAAATCAAGAAACAATAATCCTCCACAAAATGTTTCTCTCTTCATGTGAGCACTAACTGAAAGATAAGTTTTTCTTTTTTTCCCTTTTTTAAAAACTGTATCTGAAAACAAGAATAAAAAATCTGGAAATGGCCATAATCTAGGAAACAGTGGCCATAGTCTAGGAAACAGTGGAACATTCCCTGAGTGCCTAAGGTTGGAGCACACATTTATAAAAATATCTTCTTCTTTTTTTTTTTCAATTTAATGTGACCTGTGATTACCTCATTAATAGAATAGAATAATGCAGATGTTGCTGCATTGCAACAGCATTGTGCACCACAGTATCTGGGGTACCATTTGGGAGGCAGGCACATGCACCTGCAGATGAGCAAAACAGCAGCCATTGTATCCTGCCTGCATCCCAAGATAAGGAAAGAGGTACATCAGTTCTTGAGGTGGGCTGGTTACTATTGTTGGTCCATGCCCAGCTTTGCGCAGCTGACCTACAATAATACATACAGGTGACCCTGAATCCTCCCTTAGTTATGCTGCAATAGGCATAGGCTGCTTGGGGATTCCCATGATGCATTGAGTGTTTTTTCCTTCTCAGTCACCTTTCTCACTCACTATGTGTTAATAGACCTCTCTGCATTGAATCATACCTGTTATTAATTTCTGTCTCTCTTCCACAGCATGTCTTTATCCTGTTTTCCTTCTCTCACCCCAACCGGTCGCAGCAGATGGCTCCGCCCCTCCCTGAGCCTGGTTCTGCCGGAGGTTTCTTCCTGTTAAAAGGGAGTTTTTCCTTCCCACTGTCACCAAAGTGCTTGCTCATAGGGGCCATATGATTGTTGGGTTTTTCCTCTGTATTTTTTCTCCGCATCCTCACAAAAACAAAAATGAACAGCTTGTAGAACTGGGGGGTCATATATAGATAAGAACTGGGAGGGGTGTGTTTGGAGGCGTGGTCCCGCTCCTGAAATTCAGATAATTTATCTCCAAGTAAAGTTTGGAATCTGTACTTTATTTTCCACTTAATTTACAGCTCGTTCAGTTTGGCATTGATGAAGTAATTGCAGGTCACATTTAATAACAAAACAAACAAACAACAAACCTCCCCCCAAAAAAACACTTAAGTTGTTTTTATAAATGTGCATGCTCGAACCTAAAGCACTTGGGGAGAAACTGTGTTCCATTGTTTCCTGGACTATGACCAATTCCAGTAACTTTCTCAGTAACTGCTACCAGTTAAGGTCAGGAGCAGTTGACTCACCACTATGCCATAAAGCTGGCTCCTATTCTGAGCTGCTCAGTGGAGTTTAGTTTGGCTGTGTTTGGCTTAGTCCACTTTTCCACTGTTCATCAGAAATGAAGCAGCCCACCGGAGAAGTAAGCTGCCCACAGACATTAAGTTACTTTTAGATTCTAGATTCTGTTTTAGAGTCAATATGAAAAACACATGGACAGGAAACAGACAGTAATGAGGATGATGCTGTTGACTGAAAGAGAGAGTTGTTTTGTTACATTTCCTTTAGTTATAAAAGTGGCATCATTGCTGGAATCTGTATTTAAATTTTGATGAATCCACGGCTCTTTCTGTTGACATTGATGACATAAATGCAGGTCACAGTTTAAAACTCAGGCACTCAGAGAGAAACTGTGTCCCACTGCTTCCTGGGCCGCAGCAATTTCCACTCTGTGTTTGAAGAGGCCGTTCCATTTATTTGGAGAGTTGCTTCATTCTTTCCTTCCTGGCTTCAGGTACAGTCAAAATAAGAGTTGGATAAGCTATTTTGGTTATTTACATCAGAGTAAAACAGAAAATGATTGTGGCATTAAAATAATGTTACAAACATTGATTATCAATTTTATTTTAGGATGAATGTTCTGGAATATTTTGAGAAATATTTTGGGGGAATTATTGCTTCTTTGATTTGAAGAAATGGTTTGTTATCTTTTCTTTAAGTATACTTTTCAGTGAAAGCCCTCTCTCTCTCTCTGTCTCCCTTTC